AAGGGGACATGTTTTGTGATACCTGGTTCTGGTGGGATGAGTTTACCTCATCACAAGAATACCTGACTCTGTTGGAAAAAGGCTGTCATGGCGGCTTTATTTCTTAATGCCCCCCCCCCTTTTTTCTCCCTTTCTCATATATTTGTTATTTTTTACCCTTTTCTTCCATCCTATACTTTCTGATCTTCCTTCCCTTCGCTTCCCTCTACAACCTTACCCAAATTTTGTACCTATCCTTTACTTCAAATGGTGCGACCAGGTCACATATGTGAGGATGGTTAATTTACCCACGTTGGGACTGTAGCTGACGGTGGCCACTGCCAGTTTATACACTTGTGCTTAACCAGCGATATAAGCGTCCAATGTGGGCATCTACAGTGCTCTGATGGCTGATGCCACATACTAATACGGGTCAATGCTTTATACTTGATGGGCATCTATTTCTATCTACCATTTTTATGTGTACAGTGGCTGCGTCCACTGATTTTATGATGGGCGGTTTGGCCCCTTGTCTGTTTACCTTTGAATGTAAATTGGAAAACTTTGTGGAATAAAAGAATTAAAGAAATAAAAATAAAGGGACGTCCAGACTGTAGATATGATGCTGAGAAACTTTATTGTAGAACTTTAGGGAGAGAGATTGATGGTTAGGATCATCCAGGCTGATGTAGACTCATTTAGGTGGCATTAGTGTGGTAGCTGCCTCCATTCACAGCATGAAGAACACCTGGCACCTGAGGTAGAAGCCACCAGTCATGTTCATCCTTGTCATCAGTAGTAACCACTGGGCCTCTAGACTCAGCCCCCAGTGTAAGCACATGGTTAGCCCTCAGGCTTCAGGCCCAGCCATCTTAGACAGTCCATAGCAGCCTCCCCACAAGCAGTGCCCGGGAGAGGAAGAGAGAGCTTACATGGTCCACCCCAAGTATTTATCTCCTCCCCCAGCATGCACCACTGGCCATTAACTTCACAGTGATTGGCTGGAGAGGGGTACCTACTCATAGCAATCTCTCATTCATTGCTCTGCTCTGTGGCCAGGGTACACCCAGCAGCAGACAGATACAAAAGGACGACAGATTGATTAGGGAAAACCAAATAAATATAGACTACAAATCAGCATCAGACTGCTTGCAATCTGAAAATACTAAAATTAATAGCACTCCTGCCTACAGAGTGCTAAAAAAAAATACCCTTTTCATGAGGGCTTCTTAACAGAGCACATGTATTAGCACTTAAATGGCTTGAAAGTGAATACCATTTTATCTAGTGTGTGAAAATTCATAGAGCTCTTCAACAACTGATTTGGCAGCAACCAAAGAATGAAGATATGCTTCAAATAAAAATGAAACTGGCAAATCAGCATTGATATAAGGTATGCTATTATTTTATTTTGTATGATCAAAGGTTTACAAAGACATTAAAGGGTTTCTAAACCCTCCGTTTTTTTGCATAAGCAGTAGATATATGCAAAAAGTTAAAAAAAACGTGCTTTAACAGCGGTATCCGAGAATCCGAAACTGCTCGGGCGGCCGCAAAGCATCTTGGGGCGGGTGCATGCGCAGTTTGGAATTTCGGCCGAGAGACAGGGAGAGACGCAAGGTAAGTCTATGGACGCGTGCACCCGCATGCAGACACCGTGGGATCGGAAGTGCCAGCAAGGACAGAGGAGTCAGCGTGTGCTGGAGAGAAGGCGGAAAAGGACAGGAAAGAAGAGGAAGATCGGATTAAGAGACATCATTTAAGATAAGTGCTGACATTAACATTGGGGGGACGGGGAAAAATTATCCTTTAATGTCACTTTAAATACCCTCTGCTAGCAGCACATTAAAGAATCAGATCCATACTCAACACAGAGTACAGCAATCCAGTTCTCCAGTGGTCTGACACGACCCCTGCACTGAGCTCAAATCCACTCACAGTACTTCTTACTGTAATAAATACAAATAATAGATACAAACGATTTGTTTAGGCCCTAAGTGCTAATTTAGAGTTAATAAAAATGCATTAGAAAATTATTTTGTTTATATTCTGTTGGTAGCTTGTTAGGAATGTTTTATATTCCACAGACACTTATTTGTACAGTCGGTGTCAGGAAAGTTCTCTTAGGAATTGTGCTGGTCTTTTTAAATTCTAGCTGCAAAGACACTGATGCTGACATGTAAAAAATATCTGTGGATGAAAAGAGACTGTATTTGCTGACAGAGAAGATCATCTATGTTTTGGGAGAATAACAGATGCCTGATGCTCTAAATTTTATTTAACAAGTTATACTGGCCTGCTTTCATTGTATAGTTTCCTGAGCTCAGACAAACCATACTCTCCCTAATAAAAATATCAACTGAAAAATAATCACGTATATGTATGAAGTTATGATTATATATAAGGAGCCCTGCTGTGGATGTGTGATACTATGAAATTCCTTCTTCCTCTTTCAACAGCTGCCACCCCTTTCACACTGTTAGAAGATCCTATTAGTGCCAGAGAGGCCAGCATACAAAAAAACACAGGTAAATAAACTGGGAGCTGTGAGTGTAAGAGATCAGGAGATTAATTTTAAGGAAGTGAAAGCTAACAATGGGGCCCTGAAGGAAAGTTTAGATTTGCATACAAAGTGCTCCAATTATCCCTTTGAACCTGGTTGACCCACTATCTAATTCCTAGAGCTGCCAATATGAAAAGCCTTATTTCAGGTCTTCAAAGTCTGTATGCCAGCAACAGCTGTATTTGCTGTTTAGATGCTGGCCACCCCTTACAGTCTTTAAAAAAAAAATTAAAGTGACATTAAACCATCAGATTTTTTAACATAAACCAATACTGTAATGTGTGCCTTACTGTAACCCATGGTTGTTTCTCTTCTCTTTGCTGCTCTTCCTTTTAAATCATCATGTCTTCTCATGCTTGGGGAGAACTTCCCTTTTCAGCTCAGGCCCTCTTCCCGTAGTGCTGCTCAGGTTACAAGCCTATACAAACCTATACACAGACACCGTGTATCCATTCCTGAGACGAGGCAGTCTGCTGCAAAACAGAAGTTCTGCAGAGCATGAGAACAGATACAGATTTAAAAGGAAGAGCAGCAAAGAGAAGGGAAACAACCATGGATTACAGTAAGGCACACATTACAGTATTGTTTTATGTTAAAAAAATCTGAGGGTTTAATGTCAGTTTAAGTTATTGAAGTTTTTTTTATTCTTCTAAGTAGAAGTAGTAGTTGGGGTTTAGTGTTTCAGAGTTTATTTTCCTTTGGGAAGGTTTTTTTTTATTTTGTTAGGGTCTTTTTTAAATATTGAAGTGTGCTGTGTACACTTGTTGCTGACACAGGCAAAGCTGCCCCTTGTTTGCGGCATGTCACCACATACTTGTGCAGTAAAGAAGTGTGCAACAAAGCACCACATACTTATTCCCCTACTGCTAGAGCTGCCATTATATTTAGGCAATCCCATTTATTAAAAATGTCAGATAGGCCTAAAAGGAGAGGCAGACCTTCTGCACAACAAACTAGCAGGGGACAAGCAGAACCTGCAGGAAAAAGCTGTGGTCAGGCCACACCACCTATAGATGGTGCAGCTCAACCACAGAATAGACATGTCTGCCCTTTCTATCTCAGGGTGGCAGTTCTACCCAGCCACAACATTCACTGGAGCTTGCACAGTATGCACTGGAGCTTCAGCCAGTGTGTTGTCTGAGAGGGCCTTCAAAACAGTAGAAGGTTTTGTTCTGAAGAGGCAAATCGGCCTGTCCCCTGACAGTATGGATTGACTCACTTTCATTAAAATGAACCAGTCTTAGGTTAACAATGACTAGCAAACCCCTGCTGCCGAAGCTACAGAGTAAACTTCGCCATTACTAGCTCATCTAACTTCTCCTGGCCTATTACGGTGCTCTGGCACTGTAAAGGTACCACACAATGTTTCTGCAGCTGGACCTTACTTGCCAAATTATTTAATGCTTGCTGGAAGGTAAATCCTTTGTTGCCCTTTGAAGTTTGTGGCCTATTCCAGCACTCTGACACTCATCGCTATCATCTCTCAGATAATACACTCTAATTTCTATTTCAAGATATAACGTGGCTTGTTAAGTGCTAGTGAACTGTTTTGACGCTAGCAAGGTGCTACCAAACACATACATATAAGGTCTATACTTTGAATAATTTGGGAATAATCGGGAATACAGGGTTTGAAAGGGGGTTTGTGGAATGTGGGGTTGTGGTTGTTTGTGTACGCTCTTTTGACATTTTATTACATTTTAAAGACAATGCAGTGTGCTACTGCAAATTTTACTATCCATCTGTTTTTGTATGAAGTACACTTTGAAGTTGAGGGCTTTATCTTTACTTATTTTAGAGTAAACTTTTAGATATGTTGTGGCTACTACTTCCACTGGTCCAGTGCTGCTTGCTAAGAAAAAAAAGTGCCAAAGCTACCTAAAAAAAACTTTTTTTTTAAAGTTGAGATAAAGCATATTGGGAGTGAATATTCTGTATTTAAGCCATGCTAAACGTAAAAGTTATAAATAAATTATACATGTGAAAACCATACTGTTCCATGATACCACATACAGCTTAAAGGCATCTCTCAAGCATGTCATTTAAATGTTGGCCTGTTAAAGTCATATTGAAAAATACCCTCTCCCTGCTGCATTTAATCTTTTTTTTTTGCTTTGTTAATATCCCCCAAGGCAATTCCCAGCTCTGCGTGTCCTTTTGATATTAGCTTGCCTATTAGCCATGAAAATGACAAGAATTTAGTATCCAGATTTACCTCCTCATACACTTCAATTGGGCTTGCAGCTAAGTTCGGATTTATGGATTTCAAGCAGGATTCAACAAACCCCCATGAATCGTAACCCAAGCAGATTACTCATCCCTATTTATATATGGTATTTATTTTACAAAACGAATTATGTACATGCAAGAGCTCTGTTGTTCACATTCTCATCTATAAAAAAAAAAAAATTCTATTAGCTATTAAGCAATTTTAACCAATCTTTTCTGTACTAAAAGGATGGAAGAGTTGAATACAACACTGATAACTGAGTTCATTCTTCTTGGGATCACTGACCTTCCATGGCTCCAAAAGGTCTTGTTTGTCCCAATTCTCACCTTTTACCTTCTTAACTTATTAGGGAATCTCACAATTGTTTTCCTTGTGATAGAAGAATCAGTTCTTCATTCACCAATGTACTTTTTTTTAGCTAATCTTTCCTTTCTTGATATATTGCTTTCTTCTAACACTATCCCAAAAATGATGACAGGAATCTGGATGGAAAAATCAATATCTGTTAAAAACTGCATCACGCAAATGTATTTATTCCACCTCTTTGGGTGCACTGAAGGTGTTCTTCTGGCCGTCATGGGTTATGATCGATACGTGGCTATCTGCAAACCTCTTCAATATGTAATCATTATGAGAAAGAGTACTTGCATCAAACTAGTATTGACATCCTGGATTGTTGGTCTAACTTATGCATTAGTAAATGCATACATGACATCAAGGCTTGCTTTTTGCAGTAAGAATAACAAAGTGAAACATTTCTTTTGCGATGTTAAGCCAGTAATAAAGTTGGCATGTGAAGACATCCATTTCAGTGAATTCACAATGACCATAGTCAGTGGATTTGCAAGTACAACTAGCTTTTCTCTTACCATCCTATCTTACTGCTATATAGTTACCCATGTTATTAAAATGCACTCTACGCAAGGTAGATCCAAGGCTTTCTCAACATGCTCTGCACACTTGACCATTGTTATCCTATTCTATGGGACAGCCATGTGCACTTACCTTGGACCTACTTCAGAAACATCAATAGAAAAAGATAGAATTGCTGCCATATTATTTACTGTTATCACTCCAACACTTAATCCCATTATTTATACACTTAGAAACAAAGATATTAGGAAATCATTAAAAAAATATGCTAAATAAGAAAATATGCTAAATATTAACACAAACAGAAGAATGATTTAAACATTATAGCTTAAAAATGCATTCAAGTACCCTATTAACAAACATTTTGCTTTTTTTTTTAGCATCAATGGGCTGTAGATCCTCAAATCATCTCTAAATTGACACCCTCCTTCCTTCTGGAGGGTGGCTACTTTTTTCCCCATGGTCCCTGTGTGTGTTGTAAAGGAGATAAATATATAATGATGCACTGCGCTAATATTCTCCTTATGTGAACCTTATGTGCACTGTGCTTATGCTCATTAAAGTGATTCAGAATTCTATACCTCCATGTAATGTGAATACATTCATAAACATAAATAAAAATATTCTCATATGTCAATTTCATATAAAGGATATAAAGATATGAACAATCAATCTTTCAGTGTCTAATTTCAGTTCTCAATTCATCTGAGTCCAGATACAAAGTGCTAATGTACATAATCCAAAAATGCAATAGTCATCAAAAAGGTGCTCCCAACTCCCGATGCTTATGTACAGTAACAGAGAACACACTTACCAGAGGTCCGTGACCATATATCTCAATGTTAAATGGAGATAAACTGTGCTAGGAATCAGTTAAAACTCTTAGAGCAGTTGTGCTTAGTAAGTGAGTACACCCAAAATAGGAAAAAAGAAGATAGCACTGCGCATCAACAAACTCAAAATATATTCCTAAAATGTGAAAAAAAATTGTGAAAAAATTGTGATAAAATGTGGAATTATCACAAAGTGATGAAACAATTATAAGTTATCCACACCACTTTTGTTGCATAATACCTGTGCTAATATTTCAGAAAAACTCTTGGTCTAATGGTCTAGACACTATAACCCATAATGACTCAATGTTGAGAGAAAATGTAAAGAACACTGATTCACAAATTGTTTATGCATTCAGGAAGGTGATGTGGATTATAAAAGTTGGAAGATATATCTTCACACATTTAATTACTCTATTGCATGAAGAAGAAATGGACTACACATATGGATATGGAGATTAAGTGAGAATTAATACAGGAGTTTCTATATGTATACATTCTATGAGATATACCAGCACAATTATATGATTTTTGTTTTGCACATTTTCTCTCAACATTGATTAGTTATGGTTTAAAGTGTCTAGACCATTAGAGCAAGAGTTTTTCTGAAATATTAGCACAGGTATTGTGCAACACAGGTGTGGATAATGCATAATTGTTTCATCACTTTGTGATAATTTCACATTTTAATCAAAATTTTTTCACATTTTAGGAATATATATTTGAGTTTGTTGAAGCGCAGTGCTATCTTTCTTCTTTTTTCATATATCTCAATGGCCCATAAATGCAAACACGGTGAGTGCTCTTCATAATATATAGATGGGATAATTACTCCTCTAACGTCACAAATCCTTCTTCCCGTGTTATAACGGCAGGTACCGCTTGCACAGAGAGGGGGCGGGAACCCGTTTTCAGGGAGGAAATGATACAGCAAATGGTGAAGTACATAAAATCAAGTGTATTTATTACAACGGTTACAAAGACTTACAAAATTTTCAAAGTAAAGGCGCCATGTATGCAAACAATCAATCGATTCCTCAGATTGAACTGTTTGCTAGAATGTTGCTGGTGAAGATTTGGAGACATTGGTACACATGCCCACCTTTAGTGGTTCTGCCCTAAGATAAAAAAAATTGGTTACAAATTATAAATATTATATCTTCTATAAAAGGCAGAACCATACCGGTAGACCCATGGCTATGTCTGCTACATCTTAATGAAAGATCCATTTAAGATTACAGAAATTTGATTTTACCCCATTTACTCAACAGAGCAAAGTCTCTCATGCCCAGGTACTGGAAATTGCAGAATATCCCTACTGTACAGGAATGGATCCATAGGATTGAGCCTCTGAGACTAATGGAAGAATTAACATGGTCCCTACATGATAAGAGCAGATAAATATGATCTTATATGGCGCCCGTGTGCCGATTTGAAAACTAAAGGGGTTATTCACAAAAGGGTGAAGAGTTTGGAGAAGGCAGGAGAAGTGAACAATCTGGGACAACATAGCTGAACTGGAAAGTGAGCTGAATTGGAGAATTGTTTCAAATCATCTATTTTGGCCTAGATTGTCCACTTCTCCTGCCTTCTCCAAACGCTTCACCCTTTTGTGATTAGCCCTGTAAATCTCAATATGCACATTTATGGTTTTAAATATAGACAATTTATATTGGTATATGGTAGGTACTGAAAGCTGGATGCTCTCAGTTAGGAATGAGCAAAAACTGTGGCACCCCCCTTGTTTTTTTTCTCTGTATGTATATGTTTGACATGTAGGTATGTTTAGTGTGGTCTTTTCAAAAAATTTATAATAATGTGATTAAAAAAAGAGATGTCTGCAGAGACAACATAAGTACTGTACTGACACAACCACAAATCTACATAGTGACCACACTCACCACCATACTGACACAATCAGAAATCACCTTTTTATTTTTTCATAATTTTTATTTATTTTATAATTTTTTATCAATTTTTATTAAAACATTTAATTAAATTTTTATTTTTTTTTCACTTAACTTTACTGCTATCATACAGGAGCTAACAGGAGCCCCTGTGTGTTAGCATTTGGAGTTGACAGGTTATCTTTATTGAACTTGTCTCCTCCAAAACAGGAGTTCCAGGACAGCACTGTGCTGGAACTCCTGTGACAGCTGAGGGAAAGGCTGCGAGTACAGCTCTCCCCTCACTGTTTACACAGAGCAGAGCAGAGAATGGACTTCTCCGTTCTTCTCCCTGCTCTGCAGCTTGTCAGGCAGTGACTTCTCTGCTCTGCATCTCCGGCCAGCAGCGTGAGGCAGCAGTAGGGGGGGGGCGCCCCCGAGGATGGCACGCCAGACACCAAGGAACTTCATGTCCCAGGTGATAGGAATCCCTGCCGCCCCTCTGCTCCCTTTGAAATTCGGCCCTGCCGGTGCCCCCTTCATATCGGCGCTCGGGGCAAGGGCCCCCCACACTATGCCACTGCTTCCAGGCATAGTCTGGCCAAGCGTGCTTAGCACTCTGCATCTACCACTGAGGTCTACTTTAAATTTACTTTTAAGTACTTTAAATACTTGAAATTAATTTTAAAACAGTCAAGTTTGCACAGAAATTGTGGAATCATATGCTATACTGTACAGGTGCAAATGGATTATTGCAACATTTCATGTGTCTACTGACACTTGGATTGCTGTATGCATGTTTTCATTTACTATTTGTTTTTTAGTGAATCTGTGGCCCATGCAGGGAAAAGCAACAAGTTTAGTTTAAACAAACACACACACACACACACACACACACACACACACCACATCAATGGTAGATACCCTTTTTTGCTTTCAAAATAAAAAAATAAAAAGTAACAAATAATAAAACAATTATAAAAAAAATTAAAAAGTAAAAGACAAGATAAAAAATATGTAAAAAAGTTAAAAAAATAAATAAAAATAAAGTGATTTAAAAAAAAAGAATAAAAATGTAAATTAACCCTGCCACCCCCGCTACCTGGTTGCCATTCTCCATTGGGGGGCACATAGAGGACCCTGGCCTTAGGACAGCAGATAGAAAAAATCCAACCCTGGGTGGCATTCTGAAGGGGGTGCCACTGGCTACTGCCTCCCTCTGCCGCTCTGCCAGGCTGGCCACACTGAATTATAATGGCTCAGTCAAGTTAAGCAATCGCCCCAGCATACCTGCCTAGTTTTTGTGATTACAAAGCCGAAGGTTCAGCAGCGGTGGTGGAGAAACGTAAGGGGAGAGGTGAGCTTTGTTTCTTAAAGCACTGGCCTGATAAGTCAATTGGGGGGGAGGCGAGAGAGGTGGGCACAGTGGCAGGGGAAGAGCTGGAGGGAGGGTCAGTGGACACAGAGGTGCTGAGAGATGTAGGCAGAGTGGCAGGGGAAGAGCTGGAGGGGGGTCAGTGGTCACAGAGGTGGTGAGAGAGGTGGGCACAGTGGCAGGGGAAGAGATGGAGGGGGGTCAGTGGACACAGAGGTGGTGGTGGGAGAGGAGACAGGTGTGTACACTGTCAGTGGAAGAGCCAGTGGGTGTCAGTGGACACAGATATGTGTTTGCAGAAGAGAGAGGTGGCACAGTGGCAGGGGGAGAGCCGGGAGCTCAGTCAGGGCCGTCTTTAATACTGATTGGACCCTGGGCAAACAATTTCTTGGGCCCCCCCCGGCCCTAACAACAGCATACACCCGCTACTGCTTATGTGGGCTGAAGGGGCAGCTGCTTTGGGCCCCACAACAATGATTGGGCCCAGGGCGACTGCCCCTTTTGCCCTGCGTTAAAGACGGCCCTGGGCTCAGTGGACATGTAGGTGGTGGGGGGAGAAGAGAGTTGTGGGCACAGTGATGAGTAGAGAGCCGCCCAAGGCTAACATCAGTGGAAACAGCAGGAGAAATGCAGGGGGAGACGTCAGGTGAGCTCTATATCCCATAGCCGGATGAGAAGTCAAGTGAGCTCTGTACCCCATAGCTGAGATAAGTCAGGTGAGCTCTGTACCCCATAGCTGGGATTGAAGGTCAGGTCAGTTGCAGATCCAGAGGGGAAGGATGGTAAAAGGGCAATTTTTGCAGGGGGATGTGGTGACATTTTCATGAATACCTAGGAGTAGCCCATCAATGAAGAGCAGGTGTGGGCCATGTGCTACCAGTGGTGCAATGTATACTAAACCCCAAGAGCCTATACATTAGAAAAAGGGCCAGTTTTTATAGGGGCCTGAGTAGACTAGTGCAGCTCCTATAGGCTTTTAGGTCAGTGTATGTGACCTGGGGTGAAATGGGGCCCTAGTGCAAATGAGTGATGATGTCTCTATTTTTTTTACGATACTACTTGAAGGACCGAGGCGAAAAACTTGGCTCCTGCAAGACTTCACCCTGTATAAAGCTGCCCTCCTAAAATATTATTCCTTCCTCCATGCTGCCAAACAGACTTATTTTGTCACTCTCATTAACC